CCCCCCTTCCTTCAGTTCTCTCTTTTTATATGCAATGTAAAATATTTGAAAAACATTAATAAAAAAAATTAACAATAAGACAGCACTCAATTTAAAACTGTGGGTAGGCCAAATGTAAAGTTAAAATTGGAAGTAATGCCAGGGCATGGGCGAAAAGGTGAAAGTGGAGTTTGTGGAAAACATACAAGCAGACCTCATATGTAAAGTGCTTTGGAGGACAAAGTGCTATGGGAACATTATTCTGGGAAGGCACACTGGAACAACCACATCCTCAAGCTCCTCCTAAAGACTGCCAGAGTTGGGGCCTGCCTGATGTCCTTAGGGAGTGAGTTCCAGAGTCGAGGGGCCACCACCGAAAAGGCCCTGTCCCTCATCCCCACCAATCTTGCCTGCGATGCAGGTGGGATCGAGAGCAGGGTCTCTCCAGATGATCAAAGAGATCATGTGGGTTCGTATACAGAGATGCGGTCACATAGGTAGGCGGGTCCCAAAATCTCATGCCTGCTCTGCTTGTTCCATCACTTTTGGAGTATGAGATATTGTTGTGTGTGGATGAGCGACACTCCTCCCACCAGCAGAACCAGAGATGACACTGACATGTAGGTGGAATAAAAAATGGCCACAACTTATTTTATTGATTACAGGAACAAGGGGTTGACTGACTGGCATGGGTTCTGGATCAAGATCGATCAGCCTGCTTCTGACCGATACCTGATGAGACCATCTGGGGGCACAATACTGAGCAATGAAACACAGTACCCCTGGGAACCGCCGTATGTTTTCTCCCTGGCCAGTAGGGGAGGGGAAGAAACCAGATCCAGCGCCCATGCCACATGCCAACCCTGGTAGCCTGCAACCAATAAACCACCTGGTTCTTAGCCACCAGCACGCCAAGAGACAAGGTGTCTAGCCAATGCCATTGGATTCCACAGTTCTGAGTTCTGAGCCTTCAAGTCACTCGACTCTCGACTTGACTCCTGGGTGCCTTCTTGTTGACTTTGTCCTAGAGGCCCATTGCCTGGCTGGCGCCGCTCTGCTTCCAGATCTCTCCTTTCGGATCTCCTTCCACTGCCTCTCTTCCTCTCGTCCTGTGGGAATGAGAAACAGAGCAGCCAGCAGTCCCAGGTCCCTCAAGGAGGAGGCCCGGCCTGCTGGAAAGGATGACGATGGCAGTAGCCTGCCAAAAAAATTGACATGCCCACTGGACAAAAAGATACAATATTTATAGCCTTCAGATTCAAAAGTTCCTGTGCCCACCCCTCTGAGCTGGCTTTGTTGTGACATCAGCAAGCCAACAGAAGAGCCAATGGTGGCCTGAGCCCTGCTTTGGCCTCTCAGCCAATGAGGTGGACGGGAAGCGGGAAACTAGGAAAACAATGAAGAAATGTCTAGTTGTCAAGATTAAGGTGACCAATGTTTGCCTAGTGATTCAGCGATAGCTTAGCTCTCAAGCCAGAATCTGAGTTATTGTTTTAATTTTTTGCATCATCATCTCTGTCTAGCCCCCAAGGAGCTAGATCCTTTGTTTCATAGTCCTGAGGTATGGGATTTATGGATGAAGCTGAAGTGGGTTTCGGCCAGTTGGGATTGACACAATGGAAAGACTGTGGTGAAATTCCTGTTTCTTCACAGATAAGAAGACACCCTTTGTGTTGAGTAATTGAAATGTCCATGACTCCTATCATCCCAGATGGTCTGGCTTTTTGCCCTCCAAAGTCTGATCTGATAAGAGCTATTTATTCTTATTGTCCATGCAAGTGGGCATGGTGAAACCTTTTGTTAAGGGATTACCAGCTCTGGAGTCGTGAAGGGTCTTCCTGGGCCATGAGAATTGCTGGTTTCATGAAACAGTGGCTTTTCCCTTCATATTTTCATATAAACATACATACACATAGGGGATGTGGAATGGGGCAAGGGAACATACAAAGAATTCATAGGAAGAGAGGGGGACTCATGCAGGGTTTAAGGGAAAGCCCCCCCCCCCCAAATTTCATAAAAGTTCATAAAGTTTAGCAAGAGTTTATAAAAGTTCCTATAAAGTTCATGAAATTTCACAGAAAGTCCATAAGAGCTGGGCCATAGGGCCATGGAAAAAGCCTTAGGTTCCCACATGGGGGAGAGATAGGGGATTATGGGATCATTCCAGCCTGGTGTCCTTAGCAAAACTATGAATTCCCTGATTTTGAACTATCTTTTACAGAGTCTCAATATAAAACATGATTACCTAATCTGAGTCGCCTGCGGGATGAGAAGGGCAGTATATAAATATAGCTAATTAATTAATTAATTAATTAATTAAATAATCTGTTGCACTTCATTTTAACTTGATGCTTCCAAGCGGAAAGAGATGCCTCCATGGTTGTTTATGGTCATTCTCTCCCTTTCGTTCCTTCTAGGGAGAAGTGGAAGGAAAAGGAGGAAAAGCTCAGGAGGACCATCAAGCAGGTCCTGCCGTGCGACGTGACCCTGGCCAATCCCTTGGATCCTTTGGTGCTCCAGCCAGTCGACGCCATCATCTCCACTTTCTGCCTGGAATCGGCTTGCGATGATCTTCCCGCTTACTGTTCAGCTATGAAGAATGTGGCCTCCTTGGTCAAACCTGGGGGCCACCTCATCTTTGCAGCAATTATGGAGGAAAACTACTACATGGTTGGCCCACATAAGTTCGGTTGCCTTTACCTGACGCCAGAAATGGTCAGAGATGCTGTGAAAGGGGCCGGCTTTGAAGTCCTGTGGTCTCAGGGCCTTGGGTTGACCTCTCTCCTGTCGGTGTGTGATGCCAAAGACACACTTTTCCTAGTAGCCAAGAAACCTAGTGAATCCCAGTGAGTTAGTGGGGAAAGAACCAAAGTCAACCAAAGGAACACCATAAATGAAGCTCATTCTCCAAATCTTTGAGCCCAAGGTTGGAAACGCACAAAGAAGGACCCATATTTACTCGAGTCTAATGCACCATTTTCAGAACCCTGAAACCCAAAAAAGCATTTAACATGTTACATAAATCTAATGTGCACCCTAATTTTGGGAAAGTAATTTGGTCAAAAAAGGTGAGCATTAGATTTGAGTAAATACAGTATATTGTTCTATGTCAAGATGGCTGACGGATCCTGTCTCTATAACTTAGTGAAGTTTTGCCTCAGACTTAATGGAGTTGTCCCAGGTGCTGAAATAGTCCCAGGACCTCCTTTAAAAGTAGGCAAAACCAGGACTGACCTCTAATATTAGGAAGGTAAATGGTAAGAAAAGGTGAGCATTAGATTCGAGTAAATACAGTATATTGTTCTATGCCAAGATGGCTGACGGATCCTGTCTCTATAACTTAGTGAAGTTTTGCCTCAGACTTAATGGAGTTGTCCCAGGTGCTGAAATAGTCCCAGGACCTCCTTTAAAAGTAGGCAAAACCAGGACTGACCTCTAATATTAGGAAGGTAAATGGTAAGAAAAGGTGAGCATTAGATTCGAGTAAATACAGTATATTGTTCTATGCCAAGATGGCTGATGGATCTCATCTCTGTAACTTAGTGAAGTTTTGCCTCAGACTTAATGGAGTTGTCCCAGGTGCTGAAATAGTCCCAGGACCTCCTTTAAAAGTAGGCAAAACCAGGACTGACCTCTAATATTAGGAAGGTAAATGGTAAGAAATAGGCCTGGGTAACAACGCAAAAATTTGTTTCTAAAATTGATTTGTAATTGGGGTGTTTTTTTGTTTCGATATTTAAAATAATTACAAAATTTTCCCTTAAAAAAGTTCGGTATTTACGAAATTTCGTTAATATTTACGAATCAATTCGTTAAGATGGCGGGCCCCCCGCGCATGCGCAAAATCACTTCCGAAGCTTCGTTATTGGCGGGGGGTCAATTCGTTAAGGTTATAATGAATCGATTCGTTAAAACGACGGACGCGATTGCGCATGCGCAAAAGCGACTTCCGAAACTTCGTTTTTAAATACGAATCGATTCGCTATTTAAAATAATAACGAATCGATTCGTTAAAATGGCGGACGCGACTGCGCAATGCTGTAAACAAAATCATTTCATAAAATAAATCAAATAAAATAATCAAATAGAACAAGATATTAAGATATTAAATAAAAAAGTAATAAGATAAAGTATCCAAAACTGAGTCAATTTAATAATATAATGAAATAAACAATAATATAATAATAAAATTTAAATAAATAAAATATAAATAATAATAATAATAATAAATAATAACAATAAATAATATAAAATTATATAATATATACAATATAAAATAAAATAATATAATATAATAATATATTATTATATATATTATATAAATGAAATAAATAATAATATAAATATTTAAATAAAATATAATTAAATTTATAAAATATTTATAAAATATAATTATAAATAATAATAAAAATAATATATAAAATTAAATTATAAATTATTAATATATAAAAATAATGTTATTATAAAAACTTAGAAAGTAAATATAAGAAATAAAGAAAAAGTAACAAAAAGTAACAGAAATTGCACTTTGAAAAAACTCTGAAAATTATCTGGGAAGTATTGCATACATACTAATTTCTGTAGCAGTATTGCAAGTTAAGTAAGAAGGACCAACTTCACATTTGGGGGTGGTGTATCTTAATGTGCATCCTTAGCCCTGTTGTGGCAAGATGCCTCATATCTTTTCCTCTGCTGACGCTCACACCGCAATGCCTGCAAACTGCCAAAGTGGCCCTCTCATGATGGACGTCGTAATGATCCCATAGGAGCGATCTCGGCCTACCCCTACTAGGCACTTCAGATGTACTCATGCTCGTGTTTGGACTGTCGGTGTTTGTGGAAGGGAGTATAATCGTTGGTTGTTTCTGTAGCTCGCCCTCCATCAGCATGTCTCAGCATGCAGTCCTCTTGATCACTAATTCCTGTGGTGGAAGCACATTCCATCTTGTCTTCCTCCCATTCCTCTGACACGTCCGCCTCCTCGCCCTCCTCTTCATAACAAGTAATATCAGAGGTACTTGGAACGACATCAGGATCTGAACGTAGAGTCTTTCGAACTGATGAAGAAGAAGGTTCTGCCATCTCACAGCTGGTTGAAGCATCTGTGGGTGTTTCAATAACCATCTCGTTGGATGAATGTTCCCTTCTTGTCAATGTGTTCATCTTCAGTCCCCTGCCTTTCTTCGGTATTCGCGATAGCACTTGGCCCTTGCGACTAGAAAAGCCGGGAAGGAAGCGTTTCATCACACTGGTTGGAACTACACAAATAATGAGCAAAGGAGCGCACTGGTTGGAACTACACAAATGAGCGAGCAAGCACTGTATTATAGCACTTTGTGTTGGCAAAAGGAGCGCACTGGTTGGAACTACACAAATGAGCGAGCACTGTATTATAGCACTTTGTGTTGGCAAAAGGAGCGCACTGGTTGGAACTACACAAATGAGCGAGCACTGTATTATAGCACTTTGTGTTGGCAAAAGGAGCGCACTGGTTGGAACTACACAAATGAGCGAGCACTGTATTATAGCACTTTGTGTTGGCAAAAGGAGCGCACTGGTTGGAACTACACAAATAATGAGCGAGCAGTGTATGTAGCACTTTCTGTTGGCAAAAGGAGCGCACTGGTTGGAACTACACAAATGACAAACGCACACACAGCCACCGAAGACTCTTTTATTTTTTTAGAATATTTTTTTTTTTTTTTAAGAATAAAAGACAGGTATTTTTAGAAAATATTCAAAAATGGAAACTGAACCAAAAAATGGCCCTGATGTGGACCAAACACAGCCACGAGACAGGGCAAATGAGAGCACACAGCAACAGAAGAGTCTTTTCTTTTTTAGAATATTTTTTGTTTTTTTTAAGAATAAAAGACAGGTATTTTTAAAAAATATTCAGAAATGGAAACTTAACCAAAAACTGGCCCTGATGTGGACCAAACACAGCCACACAAATGAGAAACGCACACACAGGCAGGCACACAAGATTCTTTTCTTTTTTAGAATATTTATTGATTTTTTTTGAGAATAAAAGACAGGTATTTTTAAAAAATATTCAGAAATGGAAAATTAACCAAAAACTGGCCCTGATGTGAAGCAAACACAGCCACGAGACAGGGCAAACGAGAGCACACAGCAACAGAAGAGTCTTTTCTTTTTTTAGAATATTTTGTTTTTTTTTTAAGAATAAAAGGCAGGTATTTTTAGAAAATATTCAGAAATGGAAAATTAACCAAAAACTGGCCCTGATGTGGATCAAACACAGCCACGAGACAGGGCAAACGAGAGCACACAGCAACAGAAGAGTCTTTTCTTTTTTAGAATATTTTTTGTTTTGTTTTTTAAGAATAAAAGACAGGTATTTTTAAAAAATATTCAAAATGGAAAATTAACCAAAAACTGGCCCTGATATGAAGCAAACACAGCCACGAGACAGGGCAAACGAGAGCACACAGCAACAGAAGAGTCTTTTCTTTTTTAGAATATTTTTTGGTTTTTTTTTAAGAATAAAAGACAGGTATTTTTAAAAAATATTCAAAAATGGAAAATTAACCAAAAACTGGCCCTGATATGAAGCAAACACAGCCACGAGACAGGGCAAACGAGAGCACACAGCAACAGAAGAGTCTTTTCTTTTTTTAGAATATTTTTTTTTTTTTAAGAATAAAAGACAGGTATTTTTAAAAAATATTCAGAAATGGAAAATTAACCAAGAACTGGCCCTGATATGAAGCAAACACAGCCACGAGACAGGGCAAACGAGAGCACACAGCAACAGAAGAGTCTTTTCTTTTTTTAGAATATTTTTTTTTTTTTTTTAAGAATAAAAGACAGGTATTTTTAAAAAATATTTAAAAATGGAAAATTAACAAACTAATTGACAAAAACCGAAGGAAGGAATGAAGGAATGAATCCAAGCAAGGAATTAAGCAACAAGGAATGAATCCAAGCAAGGAATTAAGCAGCAAGGAATGAATCCAATCCAAGCTTAGTTGCAAGCCAACCCAATGCTAGCCTGAAGCCACCCTCCCGGACCTCCTCTCTTCTCCCTCGCCTCTGCAACAATGAGCTGTACGGCCGCGCGGAGCCGCTTTTAAAGGGCTTGCCGGCCAATCAGAAACAGCCACGGTGCACTGCTTGGGTGCTTGGGAGCGCCGGATTGGCTCCCAGGGCACCAGCAGCCTCCATCCCATTTACGAAACGGGCGGAAGCTCGTTAAAACTCTGGGGGTTGCCGGTTCGTTATTTTTAAACCCTTCCGGGTTTGAAAATATGTTTTGTAATCGTTTCGTTATTGCTAAAAATAACGAATATTTAACGAATTACAAAATTAACGAACGAAACCGCCCAGGCCTAGTAAGAAAAGGTGAGCATTAGATTCGAGTAAATACAGTATATTGTTCTATGCCAAGATGGCTGACGGATCCTGTCTCTATAACTTAGTGAAGTTTTGCCTCAGACTTAATGGAGTTGTCCCAGGTGCTGAAATAGTCCCAGGACCTCCTTTAAAAGTAGGCAAAACCAGGACTGACCTCTAATATTAGGAAGGTAAATGGTAAGAAAAGGTGAGCATTAGATTCAAGTAAATACAGTATATCGCCCTATGCCAAGATGGCTGATGGATCTCATCTCTGTAACTTAATGAAGTTTTGCCTCAGACTTAATGGAGTTGTCCCAGGTGCTGAAATAGTCCCAGGACCTCTTTTAAAAGCAGGCAAAACCAGGAAGGGGTTCACTGACCTCCTGACTTGGAAGCCATCAGTCACTCCGTAGTAATTGCCATTTTGGAGCCCTAGGATAGGAAAGAATGAGAAGTAGTTATACTAGGACAGATTCCTAAAGGGAGTCATAGCATTCTCATACTCCAAAGTGTTGACAGTAGAGATGGATAGGTTTATTCGGATATGGTGGAACTCATAATAAAATTGGAAATTTTAGCTTTCTTTGTTTGAAGCCAGAAGTCCCTTATAGATTGGAACCACGTTGCGCTCTTTTGCTTCGGAATGAGTTGGAAGAACGATGAAGTGTTTTTCTTCAATCAAGCCTGCTGGGAGGCGAAGCCTAAGCTGTTTGCTCCCAGCCAATCAGAGGATACATTTTGGGGAGGGGAGGGGTTTTGACAGCCATCTATATAAATAAAAATGTAATGTTCGTTTGTGGGATTAACAGAACTCAAAAACCACTGGACGAATTGACACCAAATTTGGGCACAAGACACCTAACAACCCAATGTATGTCCTTCACTCAAAAAAAATTGATTTTGTCATTTGGGAGTTATGG